CGCGAACACCCTGAGCAAGTACATGTATGGATCAGGCATGAGCCTAATTAACTTGAAAATTTTCAATTCTTAATTTCTAGAACATCCACTTAATGGAGCGTCCCTGCTTAATAGCTAGAAAGGAAGAAAGGTGTTCTTTAAAGAACTCACCTCGTCTGCCCACCTGAGGCTCATGCCCTGGTGGGCTTTTGTTTGATCCTCGTCATGTTACTCTCCAAATTGCTATGACAATGGTTAAGTCAACTACTGGAGGAGCCACGCTAAGGGAAGCTCCCCATGATAGAAAAGCCTCCACCTTGACTTGGGCTTCTTGGAGGGAGAAATTGAGAACATTTGTTGATGAGTTTGCGTTGAATAACGAAAAAGAAGCCAGTGCAATTGTGCACAACTTTTGTGAAGGTAAGTAGCAAAGCTAAATCTGCAGCCTGGCTAAGCGAAGCTAAGTGGTTTTTTAGTATACCAGTTTGAAATTAATAGTTAGTAATTTTATTTAATATGATAATTAATAATTGTTATTATTAATAATTTAAATACTCTTATTTATTAAATTAGATAAAATTACTAATTGTTAATTTCAAACCATTATACTGAACACCCACTAAAGCATATTAATTTTGTGGATAATGGAAATACAAAAAATATATGTATAAATTATTTAAAGTAGGGTAATAATGATATGTGGATAATTTTTTTACAATTTTTCTATATAATTTTTACATTATTAAATAAGTTGATATATATAATATTATAGGTCTAGTAAAATGAAAAAAGTTAATTATTAAATAATATATAAGGTTAATTATATGAAGGAAGTTATATAAAAAATAAGAATAGATAAATAAGAATGTAAACTTTTAATTTTTCTATTTAAGGATATAACTTTCAACTCTTTCTATTTAAAAGTTAATTGGATGATAATACTAACATGATAAATAGATTTTTTAACTGGAATGTTAAAAGTTGGTGTCTTTAAATAGAAAAAAATAAAAGTTGATATCTTTATATAGAAAAAGTTGAAAGTTGATATCTTTATATAGAAAAAATTAAAAGTTGATATCTTTATTTAAAAATTAACAAAATTAACATCATTAAATAAAAAAAATGCACAATTTATATTCTTATTTGTACATTTTCTCTATAAAAAAGTTATCTCTCAATCATTTTTGTATCACAATGCAATGATTATAAAAAAAACAAAAATATTATTGTCTCAAACTTTATGAGTTCATTTGGGAAAAGAAAAAAAAAAAAAAAGATTCATTTGCAATGTTTAATGAGTCTCTTGTGTTATAATTTTACAATTTAAATTATATCAAATTATAAAATACAGATTATTAGATAGGAGAATACCTTCAATATTAGTAGGTTCACCTCCATCTAAAATTATGATCATGTAGTTTGGTATAATTTAGAATATACAACATTTTTTTCATATTTAATACAATATGACATATGATATATATGAAACGATAGAATACATACAAATAAAATGAACGAAAGTTTCATTTGGTAGTCCTCCTTTAGCTATGAGTTTGTCTATATTCTGTTTTTCGCAGTCTCCGTTTGGGCTTGCTACCCGTGTCCTTTATGTTTTCAAGTGTTCTTCGGTTTTGATGAAAACGATAGGATACATACGGTTGAAGCATCCCACCGAGTAAAAGGTGTCAATAATTATACTTATTTGATGTCTTATAAAAAAAATAATAGGTTTACCGACATAATAGTTGATGAGTTTTATTTAAAAAAAAAAAAAAAAAAAAAAAAAAAAAGAAAAAAAGTTGATGAGTTAGTTAATTTTTTATTGAGTAATTAGGATATCAATGACACTATATCACTGAGATATAGAATTTCTTGTAATTTTGGGCAATAATTCTGCCATAGAAACTTATAAACATCAAATATGCAAGTTGATGCTGTATTTGACCTAAATAATTAAGAGATATTTGAATAATTGTTTAAATTTAATTGGTAGTTAATAATTGATATCAATAATTAATAATTTTTATTTTTATAACTTAATATAACTAATTTAGATAAAAGCCAATTGTTAAAGTGGTTTTTGAAATGTTAAAAAAGAAAAAACTACCTAAAGCATTTCCGTTTCCTTTAATTGTAGTGACAAATAATTGAATTCATAAGATTAAAAAAAAAAAGGTGGTTTGATTAATTAGTTGAGAATGAGTAATGGGTAAAAAGTTTACATATCTTTAAATTAACTTCGCTCAAATTATCTAAACTAAATTTCCACAGGAGAATGAGATGGAAAATAAGGTAGAAAAATGGATGATTGAGGCGGTGAAGTATATAAAGCCTGCCAGTCCAACAAGTCTCAAAATTTTTCTAAGATAAAATCTCATATTTTGTAATATTTTTTTCCATTTATATGTTCTCAACAATTAATAGAAACTATTTTTGTTGTTGAAAAACCGCGATTACATCAGAGAAGGCCGACATCAAACACTGGAGCAATGTCTAGTTCGTGAATATACCATCATATGTAACATTATCCGGCGAGCTATAGACAATGAATTTTATGAGGTGCTTATTCTTTATCATTTACATAAATAAGAATCAACTTACAAAAACGTTAATTTAAAAACCTTTTATATTAATTTTTACTCACATAATTTAAAATTTAAAAGAATGTTTTGGAAATTCGAGTATTATATAATAAATTGTTGAAGTTTTGAGATAAGTAACTAAAAATTGGTATAAGAATTATACCAGCATAACTCCATTAACGTAGCTAGGTTTGGTTTGGTTTGGTTTTTTAACATTTTATTATCCAGAACAGCTTAATCGATAAGGAGAAATTTTAATCCAGCTAATTCAATTTAATCTTTGTTCAATAATCGAACCAATGCAACTTATTTCCAATAGTAGGGATGTTATGAATTATATATATATATATATATTTATATTTATTTATTTATTTATTTTAAAGTTGTAAAAATTTTGAATTCAAATGCCCCAACAATACTTAAAAGAAAACATGCAAGCTAAGGAACAACATAAACAGGAATAGCATTTCTTTTTCTGTTTTTTATTGTGGTTTTTCATAAAATTATTTAATAGTAAAGTGATTGATTCGGTTTAGTCAATTAGTACTTAAAATTGAAAACCGAACTAATTAAATAATTTTTGAACACAACCGTAATTCAAAGTCAATTTGATCAACTTTTAATCAATTTAGATTGATTCAGTTATATATAACTAGATTGTTTTCGTTTTGAATGCCTTTGTATTATATGATTATTGATATACCAAAAAAATTATTCCTGCAGGGAGCAAGAGCAAAGCTATTTGACAAAGATAACAAACCTAAGGTACAATAAAGCCATGCAATTCTTAATCTGTATATCTCCTCATTTCCTCAAAATTTCAACAAATTTACTTTTCATTTATGTTTTTGCGAATATGCAAAGTGGGAACCTTCAAATCTTTAATTAGTCAGTGAAAAATTAGTGAATCGTTACTGTTGAGAATGTGTTTAACATTCAATCTGAGTCATGTATAACAAGCCCAGTCGTACATTCATAAGCCTAAAATGAAGAAACATCCATACACTAGTACAAACATACCCACGTTGGTAGTAACACGTGGATCAATTGGATGCTTCTACACATATAGACTCATGTTAGGGCTATAAATACTCCTCAACCACCTCTACTCAAAGTATTAACTCCACTACTCTTCTCTTTTTGCAATTACTCGAGTTTATGTTTCTAAAATATTGAGTATTGCTAACTTGAGTATCGGAGTATTTTCCCCGAAGGGACATCCTCATGATTTTCAGGTATTGAAGCAGTTAAACATATCTATAGTGTAGGATTGTGAAGCTGCCCAAAGAGTTACTTTTACTCCCATTGCTGATGGCCACTGGGAAATTCTATGGCTCCCCTTTCGATCCAATGTCAAGTACAGCCAGTTCAAGTCTAAGTTTTGACATTTATTTCTATTGGGAGCTTTGAATAATTATTGTGGAAGAAAATTATTTGGATTATCTCTGAACTTTTGTTTTCTATATTCAATCCTGCGCACTTCTATTCTGAATTTCAATAAAGCATACGTGAGATGCTAGTTATTTGAGTATGACATTTCAAGTGAGAGACTAGGGCCTACATACAAAATATTGCCTGAGGTTAATAAATTTTGATCATCATGCATCATTAGTGAAGTTCTTTTTAATGCTATTTTAATTTATAAATAATTATTGGTATATTTTCTAATTTGATATATTTATTAAAAAATATTTTAAATTTAATTTAAAAGTGAAAAAATTTAAAAATACATAATTTAAAAACTAAATTAATAAATATTTTAGATATATTAAATCAAAGTATATCAATAATTTTTCTTAACTTGTTTATGGGCGCTTCATTTGAATAATACCTTATGAACTTCCTTCCTAACAAAGGCAAATCAACCAACTATGAATCTATAGTGAATTCATTAAATTCCATAACTGCTCGATACCAATATTTCTCTACTTATCATGTTTCCTTTCTGAATCGATATCTATAAACGGAGTACTGGAGAAAGCTTGGGTAGACTAGAGTAACTTTCAGGAAAATGAGTAGAAAACAATCTATACACACTTTCCTTCTCCTCTGAATCTGAATTGAATTACGTACTGAAAATTTTTCCTTGGTCTGTTGGTGGATTTTCTTGCAATTTTAAACGCTGGGACTTGGTAAATCTTGGGCTGACTTAGTTTGTTCTCTTGCATCTTACTGGTTTCAAGTTCATGGGCTGAACATTGATAAATTGACATATAACAATGCAATTACCATAGGAAGCAATCTAGGGATTTTGGTTAAAGCAGAGAGTCTAGTAGTGAATGATGTTCCTATTAGGATTTTGGTTAACACTAGCTCATACTAAACCAATTTTTCATAGATGGTAAGTGTTAAATCCATTGGTGATAAAGAAAAATAAAAAGGTGTTAAATCCATTAATCTCCTGTAAGTTAGTAGAGAAGTAGAAGGGCTTTATATAAAGCAGTATAGGACCAAAGTCAACCCTTAAGGACCGAAGTGAACAGAAGGGATATTTTTTTTTTTTTTTTGGGAACAGATACAAATTTGAGTTGAACAGGTACAAATTTGAGAAGGGATTTATATCCTAGACTTGACTGGGATTCACCTTTCTTAAGAGGACGGAAACCTTGTTTGTACCGCACAGAACTGCTTTTGGTCTTTTGTTCGCTCCCCTCAAATCTTGCCATGTCAACATAAGACCCCACCATTGAACTGTGGAAGTCAAGTACTTTAATGAATGTTGAAAGCAGTCTGGCGTGAGATCAAAGCTCTCATTTTGCAGAACCCAGTTGCATTTTTTGCTCAGGTAAGTGAACTCTGCTTCCGGTTACTTATTCTCTTCTGCTCTCCTTTCATTTCTCCAATGCCATTTGCATTGTAGATTTCTACCTCATCTCTTATCATCTGTCTGGTTGCTGAGAAAAAAATGTAGGAAACGTAAAGCCAAAGCTTGAATCTAGGTTTTCCATTTAGTTTAACATATTTATTAGTTTTTGTGATCCATGGGAACATAGGACTCTCAATTGAGCAATCTTTCTAGTTTCTTCCCCCAATTTGTTGCTTAGGGAACCAAATCAAATTACAATTTTTTTTTTCTCAAAAAAGTTTTTATCTCCTTTCTTTTCCAGGTTTCTCAATATATATTATGCACTCACAGCGTTATTTCTCTGTTAATATATAGTATAATCAGCTGTTTTATACTATGTTTAATTCTATATAAGGAAAAAAGATGCAAGTTTTTATTCACTTGGACTCTCAGGTAGAACACCTCTTTAAAGCTTGATATCTTCTTAATGGATTTTCATCAACCCAATGTGTGTCATTTGATCTCAGAAGAAGCAGAAGATGTCTTCGGTTCTTGAAATCTTCAAACGCATTCTAGGTTGGGAGGATAAGAAGGTTGATAATGACAATGAAAGTTCCACTTTTGCCTACTGGACCTCCTCTTCTAGAGTACAATTGGATAGAACAACATCCAGGAACCAGCAGAACTTTGTAAATTCATCTCTCATTACCTCAACTAGGGAAGAGTCTTTGCCTCGGTCGACACCAAGTGATTTACCTATTCATTCCAGGGTAGTGTTTCCTTCTTCAACCGGATTAACAAAGGGTAAGGGAGCAGAAAGGATTTATCAAGAGCCTTTGAATCCAAGGAATTCCAGTACAAAACCCAATTTTCCAACCCCACCTTCACAAACATCAGTTCAGTTTTTATCTAAGCTGACCCCACCTCCATCATCTCTTAAACCCCCAACATCTGCATCAAAACCTTCTTCATCTTCCTTTATAACCCCGGCATCATTCCCTTCACCTGGAAAAACTTCTTCCACAAAACAGCATTTGTTTTCTCCTAATTCCTCATCAACATCTACTAAACCATCTGCTGCTTTTATTAATCCCCAATCATCTTCCCCTAAACTGCCCTCATCCTCTGGGCCATCTTCATCTTCTCCTAGCCTTTTTCCATCCTTTAAGCAAACTCTAGGCCCTTCCTCTGCTGCTGTTCCTAATCCCCAATCATCTTACCATAAACCACCTTCATCCTCTGGGCCATCTTCATCTTCTCTTCTTCCATCCTCTAAGCCAACTCTGGTCACTTCCTTTGCTGCTGTCTCTAATCATCTTGATAAGGATAATAAAGGAAAATATATCCAGGTTGAAAGTGATTCGTTGCATTTTTACACAATTCCTGATAATATTGAAAACTTGATCAAGAAAGACAGTGTGCCTGAACTTCTGAAGAAGCCGTTGTCCCCTTCAACTTACGAGGATTACTTTGCAACTCTGCTATATGCTGAGGACATCTATGTCAAGGTAGAATGAATAAAATACTTCCTATTATAACTTGATGCACTTTAGACCATGATAATGGAATGTTCTTTCAATTCAGTCCATTGAATATTTGGCTTCTGAATTGTGATTGAGGAGAAATGTATGCCTTATATCTAAAACAGAAATGGAGCAATTTTGAACTATTGAATGTGACTTTGGAGTTGCATGAAGCAGCCAAGGGGAAAGACAGAGTTATATCTTACAATAATGGTGACGAGAAAGATGACAAAATCTATGTTGCATTTGAGGTAAGCTCTAGTCCTCAGATGCGGCCATTTCTTCTGTCAAAAGACATTGTGTTTGCACAACCCTCGGGTAGAAGAGTGGCACCGTTTCAGGTTTTCCTCCTGTTCTTTGATCAATGATTCCATAATTTATCTGATTTTTATAGATGAAGATGTAGACTGGCTAATGCAAATCTGTTAATCTTACTAATAGGGCGTCATCTACCGGGTGGTGAAGAAGACAACCGTGTTGGTGGAATTTGGAGAAGATTTTCATTCTCAACATCATGAAACCAGGAAATACGATATTAGTTTCTCATTCAACAGAGTTTCCTTGGAGAGGGCTCATCAAGCAATTGCAGCAGCCTCTGATCCTTCATTCCAAAAGTTCCTTTTTCCTAAAAGTGCCTCTCGAATCCCCACCTCTAGATCGCTCCTCTCCTATTGTCATAAACTTGATCTGGATCAAAATTCTGTAGTTCATCAGATGTTAAACTTTCAAGGCCCCCCACCTTTTCTTGTAGAGGGACAATTCTGTGCAACTTATTCAAAGCAACTGTCAAGAACTGGACAGGTTATTGTGGAAGCCATACTCCAAATTTATAGACACTGTCCAGAGTCTCGGGTCCTTGTTTGTGCACCTATAAACAGCACCTGTGATGTGCTAATAAGAGGGTTGAAGAGGGATATTCCAGAGGTTGACATGTTCCAAGCCAGTGCTGCATCTAGAGAGATTGAGAAGCTACCTATCGACAACCTCAAGCAATTCCCAGTGGTCCTTTCAACATTTGTGAATAGCTACTGCCTGCATGACAAGGGTATAACTGCTGGGCATTTCAACTATATTTTCTTGTTGGATGCTTCCTCTGCTACTGAGCCAGAGACAATGGTGGCTTTGGCTAACTTGGCTGATGAGAAAACAGCAGTTATAGCTACTGGTGCACGCAAGAACCACTCAAGCTGGTTCCGGTTAGACATTGCTCGGCAAAATGGATTGAGTATGTCATACTTCCAAAGACTTTGTCAGAGTGATCCATACAGGACCAACGATCCAAGGTTCATATCTCATCTTTTTGTACATGATTCGTGAATAACATGGGATTTAAGAATCAGTTTGGAATTGCTATCAACTGTTGTGGCTATTCATGTATAGTATTGTCTTCAAAAGCTGCATTAGTGCTTGGTAATTAATTACTTCTCAAAAGTTATAGTTTATTAATATTTTTAATATTACACGCTGGTGATAAGCCTAATAGCTAGACATTAGGTAACTCTCATAGAAGATGTTTTATTGATTAAAAGCTTGAGATTCCGCATTATAGATTTCCAGTTCAAATTCAGAGATTGGTGGAGAGGAGTTTAGAAAAGAAAAAATTATTTTCTATTGTATAATTTATTATCTAATATATATCTATATATCAAAATAAAAATGCTAAACCTTCTATCTTGCCGACTTTCCCTTTAAATTTGGGCTTTTATGGAAATTACTTCATAGTAAAAATCAAAAGTTGCAGCCTTCTCTCCTTTAATATTCCCAACAGATCCAGCTCCACGAACATGAACTTCAACAGAAGTCATGCCACATGTATCAACAAAGACCGCCCAGGCAAACTCAAAAAGTTCCTGATGACAAAGGCCATCAAAACCTGCCATAACCTAGCCCCAAATGGCTTCCCATTTAAACGATACCATATTACAGAAAATGCGAACCCAAAACATATCTTTGTACTAAATGAACTGATTTAATAAAACAGAGCTCAGTTATTATCTTGCAAGATTGAAGCGCTCACCTCTTATTATCTTTGGAGCATTAAGTGCTTAAGTCTTATTATCTTGGAGCTTTATCTCAATTTATTATCTCTTGTTACCTTGAAGAGGTCAATTCTTACTATCTTGGGAGTTTGATGACCTCAGTTCTTATATCTAGAAACCTTGAAGAGATCAACTCTTGTTTTATTGAGAGCTCAATCATTGTATATTATTTATGTATTATCTTATGGGAACTAGTTTCTTGTTATCTTGAATGAAGTTTAAATTCTTGCTATCTCATTCGAGCTTCGTTTCTTTTTATCTTGGAAGAAGTCTAGTTCTTGCTATCTTATTGCGGTTTCAATTCTTATTACGTTGGAAGTTCAGTTCTTGTTGTCTTATAGAAATTTAATTCTTAATATCTTGGGAGCTCAATTCTTGTTATCTTGAGAGCTTAATTATTTCATTTCTGAAACTTGGAGACCTTTATTCTTATTATTTCAGAAGTATTGGAGAGCTCCATTTTTTTTCTTTTTTTTTTGCTGCATCGAATAAATCCAACCAAGAGAGAAAGGGATATGGACACCCTTCAAAGATAAGTTGACATCTTAATTACTTTCAAGAAGCAATTTTTGCATTTTATGCTTGCTTTTATAAGTCAAAAAGCAAGAAAGTAATAACATGCTAATACATACCAACAATATTCTCTATTGAAGTTTGTTATAGGAAAACAAGGTGGAAAAGGAAGGCAATTGACCCAAAGAGCTATAAGATCCCAACCTCGTTAAGTTGAGAGTAGTCTAGTAGCTATGGTCAAATTAAATGAATTTTATTTTTTCTGGTTAAGTACAAGAAAATTATGAAAATTTGCTCTCAACATAGTGATTTTTCAAGC